CAATATCAAATAAGTGAAAACATCAAATAATTCCTCCTTGAAAGTCACTCCACAACTTGTCTGTTATTTCATTACGTCGAATATCCATCGCCTGAGTTTGAGTTGAACTGACATCATACACTTTAGTTTGTTGTACTTCCTGAACTTCTTCGTCACATTGATTTTAGGGTGTAATTCGATATTCGGGATTTCTGTATTTAATATTGGGATACCGATACTGTACCGATTTCCACCCCTAGATAGGAGGGCAGCATAGCGATGCTGCCAACTAGGGGTGGAAATCGGTACGGTATTCGGTATCCTAATACCAAATATCGAAATTCCGAATTACCCCCTAAAATCAATCACAATTTCAATCCCCAAATAATTTTGGTATCCCAATCCCAATCCTCAAATATTTCGGTATCCCAATCGGTACTTCGATATCCCAATCGGTATTATCAAATACGAAATTAATTACCTTTGCAATTGATAATTAAATATAGAAATTAGATTTATTGTTTAATTTCGGGCAAAGAGACTAAGCAAAGAGTCTTGAGTTTGCCTAGAGCTAGGATATTATTATGGAGAATGGAGGAGATGTGACATCCCAAGTTATTGTCACTGTTAATCTTTAATTTGACGAATTTGAGGTCGAGAGACGACTATTACTAGTGTTTGCTTTTTGGTGTCATGGAAATAACAAGAGATTAGATGAAAGACGAGAGTGAGTTAAATTGGAAAGTCAAATTTGAGTTGGATGAAGACTTCTAAGTTGTGAAATAGTGATGGAATGATCTATGTATAATTAAATGACACCCTTGGTAGTTGAGGATCGTGTAGTAGTGAATGAGAGAGTCTAGTTGAAAGGATAAAATACACACTACCTTATATTTTGGTATTGATCTGTATTTTGGTATATACCAATCCCAATCCCGTAATCTCTAACCCCAATCCCAAAATATAATATGTGTATTCGATAATACCAAATATAGACAAAATTCGGTACGATATTCGGTATATCCCAAATACTGGTACCAAACTTCCAGCACTACAGCCAACCATCTTTAGAGACTGTGGCTACTGTGCTAAACATTACTATGCATGTGAAAGAATAGGGGCCATCTCCAGAAGGAATGAAATGCTTCGAAATATAGTTCAAGTTTTCAAACAGTAAAAGTTTTTTTTTTTTTAATGTTTGGGGCATAGACTTTATGGGAACCTTTTCCTTCGTCATTTGAAAACAAATACATTTTGTCGTTGACTGGATATCCAAAATGAATCGCTATTTGCCGCCCGTCGTTTTACTATTTGTCGCCCACAGTTAGGAAAAAATAGACTACTTTGACCCTGCCCCTAACCCTATCTATCCACCCCCACCCCACCCCCAACCTCCTCCCCCCTCCCACCCCACCCCCACCCCCAACCTCCTGCCAACCTCCCCCAACCTCCTGCCGCCTCCTGCCTCTCGCCACCGCCGACGAGCCCGACCTGCCGCCTCTTGCCTCCCGCCGCCGACCGAGCAGAAGAGGTCCGCCGCCGACAGAAGAGGACGCCACAGCAGCCGCCGACCGAAGAGGACGCCACAGCAGCCGCCGACCTCGCTCTCCAGGTAATATTTTTTTTATTTTTTTCTTGCCGCCGTCCGACACGCCGGAGCGGACGCCGTCCGACACGCCGGAGCGGACGCCGTCCGCCTGGCCGGAGCGGACGCCGTCCGCCTGGCCGGAGCGGACGCCGTCCGCCCGGTCCGGAGCGGACGCCGTCCGCCCGGTCTGGTCGGACCCCGTCCGCCCGGTCTGGTTGGACCAGTCTGATTGGGTTTCTGATTCGATTTGAATGGTTCTGTTTAAAAAAATATTTATTACATTTATTTTAAATACAATTGTTAGTATATTAATTAGTTTAATATTGATAGTTGAATAATTAGTATATAATTGTTAATTAATTTTATAATGTGTTAGTTTATTAATTGGGTAAGTTGAAATAATTAGTATATAATTGTTAATTAATTATATAATGTGTTAGTTTATTAATTTGGTAAGTTGAAATAATTAGTATATAATTGTTAATTAATTATATAATGTGTTAGTAATTACTATATAATTTTTAATTAATTATATAATGTGTTAGTAATTAGTAAATAATTTTTAATTATTTATATAATGTGTTAGTTTATTAATTGGGTAAGTTGAAATAATTATTTTAATAACTATCTATCGTATTTAGTAAAGTAACTATCTAGTTAAATTAATTAGATAATCAAGTTGTATGTATCATAATTAGTAATTGATAAATTATGACTATGAAGAAATTGCTAATCTAATAATTTATTACAACAGATTAATTGATAATTATTGAATATCCTAATAGATAAAATATCTAAATAATTATTGGATTAAATAATTATTGTCAATAATTGTTAATTTTAAATAATTATCTATGATGTTTTAGTTAAGTAATTGAGTAAGTTGAAATAAATATTTAAATAACTACCTATCGTATTAAGTAAAATAACTACCTAGTTAAATTAATTAGATAACCAAATTGTATGTATCATAATTACTCTATGAAACAACAAGTAATTGCTCAACAAATAATTTATTATAAGATATTAATAGAAAATTATTGACTATGTTTAGAGATGGCGTCACCTGACAATTCTGGAGGATCACGTAGTTCTGGAGGAGCTGGAAAGAGATTGAGAAGATTCCTTGGGCGTAACATTAGCGCTAGTGCGAGAAATAGGGGCCCAAATGATAGAGATGAGCCACAGCCACAACCACAGGTGACACCGATGAGATTTAGGGCAGACTGTTTCCCTCAGTTTGATTTTCAGTTGCCTAGTATGGCTGGTAGTGGAGCTGGTCCCAGTACAGATCATCATACTTCACCGTTTGAGCCTTCAGACGAGATTGACGACGAGTCGGAGGAGTATGAGTCGGATGCTGTTGAGCATCGGATTCCACGAGTCAGTCCGATCAGAGACAGAGTTGCCCCCAGCGGATCGTCACATGTCGTTACTGGGGTTCATGCTGTTATTGGGATCTATAGAGACCATGCAGGGCGTTTCTATAGAGCTCCACAGCCTGGTGAGGGCCAGAGTGGTACTGCTGATGTGGGAGAGGCCTGGGAGCCTAGAGGACCGTGTCCTGGACGGCCGAGCGACCCGAGTTTGCTCCGTAGCTTTCTTGGGCATGTTGCCCACCGTCTGTACACGGGAGAGGCTGATAGAGGGGTGATCACTTGCTACGACAGGAGTTCGACCCTCCACCACGTTCTCAGCGGTTATGAGATAGCAGATGATAACGCTAGGACTACCGTAGAGACATCGAGCCTTGCTCACCTCGTTGATATCACCTTCCGGAGCGAGTTGGATCCTGCTCTCATCTCGGCATTTGTGGAGAGGTGGCAGCCGGATACCAACACCTTCCACTTGCCGTTTGGAGAGATGACGATCCTCCTTCACGACGTGGCACACATTCTTGGGCTTGCGGTTGATGGAGAGGCGATGGTAGTGGATCCGAGGCAGTTGGAGAAGTGTTCACTGGAGACTGACATCCGAGCACTACTGGGATTAGATCGTGATGAGGATGAGTACGAGGCGCAGGTTGGCGAGGTTGCTAGTCTGTCTAGGTGGTACAGAGGATTTGGTTTGTTGGGTGTGGGAGCTTTGACTCATTTGCAGCAGTCTGGTCCGCCAGCTAGGGAGGCTCAGTGTTACCTTCTTTTGCTGCTTGGGTCCACACTATTCGTAGATAAGAGTAAGGACCGCGTTTCTGCTGTTGTGAACTTGTTTGTGAAGAGGCCGGATATGCTAGGAGAGTACGCGTGGGGGGCAGGAGCACTTGCTTATCTGTACAGGCAGCTTGGTATTGCCTCCCGGGCGGAGGCTAAGGGAGTGGCGGGTTGTCTGACTTTACTACAGTGTTGGATTTACGACCACTTTCCTACTTTGAGACCTGGTCGGTTGGAGCCACGAGAGCTGGAGCGGGGGCAGGCAGAAGCATTCAGGTGGCGCGGTACAGCACCCCGGTCGAGTAAGAAGAGGGATGCACAGATGCTGGCTTATTATCGGCAGGCGATTGATAGTTTGACCCCTCAGTCAGTTTTTTGGACTCCGTATGGTCAGCGTCCTCATCTGACGGCGAGACGTACCTTGTATCAGGGCCTGCTCAGATTTGCAGAGATAGTAGAATATTATGATCCTACTAGGTGACTCCGACAGTTAGGCTACGTGCAGTGTGTACCGTATCGCCCGGAGCCTCCGCTTGTTGTGCGTCGACCTGCTTCCACGCTTGGATACTCGCTTAGCTACCAGTCGCACCTTGATGGATATTGGAACAACTTGGGGGCGCATAGTGTGCATCTGGACTATTATTCTACTCCGATACGACGTAGGCCATGGGAGGTTGCTGATGATTACATGGGTTGGTACATTGGGCACTCGCACCCACTTATACTGAGTGACAGCCGACCTGTTGACGACATCTCGGATGCTGATACGGTTAGTACAATCATATTTGAAATTATTTGTATTAAGTTAAAAAAATGTTTTGATTGTAACTAACATGTATTTAAATTGTATGGTTTTTGTTTACAGTTGTCACGCGAGATGTGGATTGAGATATCTCCCGTGATGGATGCTGCACAGGGTAGTAGGGAGGAGTGGCTGACTAGCGCCAACGAGTACTACGACTTATGTCATGGAGTTGGGAACATGTGGCCCGAGTTTAGGAGGAAGTCGGGTTTTCTACCACCTCCACAGTAGTTGTATGATTATTATGTCATATGTATGAGTGTTATTTGTTGTTTTTAGACGAGTTGACTTATGTGTTCTACTACGACTTATGTTATGTGGTGTTCATTTGCTTATTTGTTGTTTTGGGACTATGACTTATGTTATTATGTCATATGTATGAGTGTTATCTGATTATGACTTATGTGGTTTATGTTGTACTTCGGATGTTTTTATTATATCATGCTTCCATGTGACGTAAACAAACTTCATTACAATTTATTTAAATTGAAGACGTTCATTACAATTTATTTATGAGTCGGACAAGTACAAATTTATTTCTTTGGAACCCTATTTTTGCGTGATGGAAAGTTATTCGCACCACCCCCAAGATCGAACCACATTTGACTAAACGGCGCGAAATAGTTCTCCCATCCATCCACGCTTTCTTGGTGACCGCCTGGCCACATGGCATGTAGAGGGGGCAACGGTATCTTGTCCGCCGGGAAAGAGAGGTTGATCCAATGATTCTGGACGAAATGCAGAACAATGACTCCTCTAGGGTGGGTTTCCCCATATATGTATGCACTGCAACAGCCAAAGATACGACTCTTTTGTCTCATCCTTCATGAGAGCACAACATATGTTGAAATTCTTCCCAACTGGAGTAGCACCTATGACCTCCACCCACGGCCATTTATATGCATTGGTCTTATACGTTGAGTCGATCAGAATCACGTACGGCCAAGCCTTCAACATCTGGATGGAAGTTGGATGGGCAAAAAAAAGATGTGTCAGCACGTCGTCATCGTCCTTCATAACCTCTGTATGATAATTCTCACGTTCAGCTGCTAGCAACGCATACTGCACTGCATTCATCTCGTCTTTCCTAGACTTGGACCCGAGGTTATACATCTGCCTTTGGGTGTGATGCCCTTTGTCACCCTTCTGCTTGTTTATTGTCTGCTTCTGTTGCGACGGAGGTACCCCAACATCTCTCATCTGCCTCAGAGATTCTTTATCCTCCTGACTCAATTGATTCATTTGACTGTGGCCTTTGGGATAAAGCATCTTCTCATGATTGTGATACCCTCGCCTTAAACCGGTTCCTTGCTCCGTCACTCCTTGTATCTCCCAGAATGAAGGTCCATCAAGAGCATCTGGATTAACCAGTAGTTCTTTGATTTTAATCCTGAACATGCACCCCGATCCTTTTGAACTTGTATTGCCACGACTCTCCTTGGAAGAATCCGGCTTGTATGACTTCCTCTCCCTACTGCATCTGTCGCAATACATATAACAGATACCCAATAATCTTTTGTTGCTCAACTCACGTGGCTTCATCGATCCCTTAGTTAGAAAGAAACCAAGAGACATCGCGATGTTTTTGGTAACTGTTACAGCATCTTCGAAATTGTCGTATCGGACGCCATTGAGAAAATGGTCCGTGTAATCACCAATTAGTTCAACATTGTAATCCATGTCCACCTGCAATTGTGATTTTACAACTCGTTAGAAATGTACAAAATTAAACTAAATGCAATAATTTAATTAAGTCTAAAAAATAATGATAATTTAAATATAAATTATTAAACCAAATTAGCTCTACGAATTAAATCTAAACACAATAAACTAATTTGCGCTACAACAAAACACAATCACTTAATTAAACTAATTGTGCTTCAATTGACTCTACAAAATTAAACTAAATGCAATAATTTAATTAACTCTAAAAAATAATGATAATTTTACAATAAGAAAATTATTTAAATATAAATTATTAAACATCTTTAGCTCTACGAATTATATCTAAACACAATAAACTAATTAGCGCTACAACAAAACACAATCACTTAATTAAACTAATTGTGCTTCAATTGACTCTACAAAATTAAACAACATGCAATAATTTAATTAACTCTACAAAATAACAATAATTTGACAGTAAGAAACTAATTAGCGCTACAACAAAATACAATCTCTTAATTCAAACTACATATGAATTTAACTATGTAAAATAGAAATAAAAGCAATAAATTAAATATAAATAATTAGCTCTAGAAATAATAACCTGTCTCGAATTAAAAAATATATATAACACTGCCGACTCCGATGCATCCGGTCCCCGGCGGACGGGCAAAAAATTCCAGAAAAGTCAGTGGGGTTTACCTGCTTCGATGGTCCGACGATGGGGTACGGCTGCCGTCCAGTGCCCGGCGAATTATGCTGACGAGATTGGTCCGGTGGCCGGCAACTTAGGCTGCCGTCCGGTGGCCGTGAATCTGGCTGTGGTGTTTGTGGGGAGTTGGTGGTCGGGACTCGGGTAGTGTGTTCGTGTTTAAAAAACCATTTCAGCGAATAGAATATAAAGAAAAATTTGGAGGGCAAAATTGTCTTTTTAGTGTTTTTTACGGGCGGCAAATAGTAATTACCCGGGCGGCAAATATTAACCCTCTATCCAAATGGGTGGAGGCTCAAGCATATCCAAACTGATGAACCAGTTGGCTTGAGTGTCGTTAGTGTCGGGCATCAAGCGTTATGAGTGCCAGTAGTGTGGGGCATTGGGTTTCAAACACGAATGACTAACGTTCTGCTTTGGCTTTAAGCGCTGCTTTGTGGCAGGCAAAGTTGGAGCGGTTCAAGTGCAGAACCTTGTGGTCAATAAGACAATAACCATTCATAATCTGCCACAACACTATTTATTGGAGACCCCTAACAATTTTCCCTATAGATTTTGACGAGTTATCTCTTTCATTTTAAGTTGTAATTCAAATCTTTCCGCACAGATAAATCAGATAAATTGTGCTCTTTAAAATTATATACACTTTGATATATTTTTGGGACCAAAAAATTGAGACATTTAGTACCAGTCTATACCATGGTGGTAATGCTTGGCACTAAATAAAATCATACGACGTTGTACTGAAGTGTACTATGGTGGTATGAATATATACCAGAGTTAGAGTATGTAATGGTTGAATATATGATAGCAGGAATATAAAAATTGTCATTTACCACATTGATCATTGTGTACCACGAGTTACCACCCATACACCAAGGTGGTACAAAGTGTACCATGGTGATATGAACATACCAGAGTGTGTAATGTTTGAATATATAATAGTAGGAATATACGACCTGTCATTTCCCACATTGATCATTGTCTGCCACCAGTTACCACCCCTACACTAGTGTGGTACAAAGTGGTACGTTTATTTTGGTCCTGGATTTTTTCATCCAGAAATTTGTAAATTCAATAGATCACAAAGATTTTGTTTTATCTGTACAAAAAATTTCAAAATTCAAGTTAAAAATGAAAGTGGTACCAAAGGGTTAACGAGTGGTACGTGTGATACAAAAAAAAAAAAATTATCAAAATATATTGAAAATCGATCTCATTTTGTAAATCACATGGAACTCATTCCATCTGTGCTTCGAAGAACAAGATAAAAGCCGATTAAAAGACAAAAAAAAATATTAATTATCATTCATCAAATCTGACTTTCTGGGCAAACTCAAATATAAGGGTCCATTATCTAATTATGGAAGGTTATACTTAGGAGTTAGGTCACACAATTCATGGGTCCAAGGCCCACGCTCCCGCTCAAAGCGCAGATCCGCAATTTGCCAAAAATTCGTTCCAAATTCGTGAATTTTCAGATTTCAGAGCGCGATTTATTCTGCAAAAAACGCGATGTCTTTTTGCTTACGAAATGTTGAACTTTTCCAACCAAAACAAAAGCATTGATGAGTGACGACAATCAAACTTCGACCATTTTTGTGCAAATCACCGTAACACAAAACAATTCAGAACCAAAGTCACAACTGCGGCCAGAAAACGGCGACTACTCTTCAGAAGAGCAAGATGCGATTGAGATGTAGACAGTAGATACGGAGAGAAATCATTTTAGAGTGGAGAATGGTGTTCAAGATCTCAAACGTTTTGAAGATCTGAACCAGCTGTTGAAGAAGCGTCTTATTGCCGTCATTCACCAGGACTACAAATTTAAGTATTTAACTATTTTGAGGATTGTAAAATCCACCAAATCACAAGGCCAATAACTAGTTAAGAGGCGATTCATTGGAAGAGGTTTGACAAGTAGCCATTCATTTGAAATTTTCTAGATTTACTTGGCATTTTTTGTGTTGGAATTTCAAAATTTTGGGATGAAGGGAAGAAGAAGATAGAGAGCAGAAGAGAGGAGCAAGAATACGAAGGAGATAAGAAGAAGATGAACGTGTGGAGGAAATCTTGTGGGCTCAAACATATGATAAGCCCATAGTTGAAAGTTGAAACTGAAGCCAATTTTCATACAGCAAAACAAAGCCCACACGTTTACTATAGGGAGATTATTTTAGAGAATAAAAGCTGTACATTGTACTAGAAGGCATGAAATTAGTAGGCACCAATTAGAATTTTGTTATTCGTCCATTAGTAATTTAGGATATGGCAAAATATATTAATTTAAAGTATTATAATGTAAACGCTCTCTATACTATATGCTCTCAAAATACAATTCATGAAAAATAGACGCTCTCGCATTCTCGCTCCCGCTTCACGACTCGGTAAGCGAAGGTTATACACCGCCCTCCTCTTCTTTGGTCCGCCTCATGAATCTTCCAGATTCCTACCATCACATCACTTGACCACATCACATCTACAAAACAATTTATATCCTCGCAAAGGAATTGTTTCCAACTTGCTTTTGCTCTTGCTCAAGTAAATGAAACGCCCATCATCATCAATTAGTGTAGCTAGTCGCTGTAACTGTATCCCTGCCTTTCTCTGTGCCTACTACTGTCATACAAACAAAACTGTAACAGAAGAACTATGGAGGCATTTCAGCCTGTCGCGATCTCTCTCAAGTATGAATCCATAGCAGAACGGAATAAATACACAATTACACTTGGATCTGATCCAAACAAAGCCCTACCATAAAATCCTTTAAATTTAGGAATCTTTTCTCCCAAGATTAGGCAATTGCTGGCATCGGCAAACCCCCAGAACTCTTTTCAGCGAGCGCCATTAAGACAACATTGGTGCTATCAGCTAAATTTACCAAGCTCCATCTTCTTCTTTATTGCCTTTTGACTGTGGTAGATAAATGAATCCAATATCCCAGAAACCGTGAAAACCCCTGAAACGGGAAAAATGGGTTAGTATCTAACCCGTGATAAATAAATCCAAATCTGCTTTTGATAGCAAAACCATGGAAATGTACCCTGGGGCGAACAGATTATGTATTACCTCCAACTATAGCGCAAACATTGGTTAAGAAATGCAAGAACGATACGTGCTCCTCCATGAATGTAACCTTATTAAGGCAATGGACAGTGTTAGGTGTACCAAATCTCACGATGGAATGGCCCTCAGATAAAATTTAAAATACTAGCAAATATACAAAACTGAAGCCATACCTTAATTGGAGAAAGATCATAGAAGAAGAACACTCCAGGGAGGGACTGAAGACGACCAGCGTCCGCACTCCTAAAATGCTCAGTTACAGAAAACTGGGGGGAGGGGGGGACATGTTAATCTGATGCAGCAATGTATCATATATGAATGAAGGAATGATGTTTTGGACGGTGTATACCTGATTGGATTGGATTGTATGGCCACCGACATCAGTGTACACTGTAGGTACGACCTATTACATGCATGGAAAGTTATTCAGTACTCGGGGGGAAAATGAAAGGTAGCTAAAAGTAAAAGCTTATGAAACAACACCTTGATAAAATACTGGTACATCCCACTTGGAGATTCTTGATTCCAATGTACACTGGATATAATGTTAACCCAGAAAAACCCATAAACCAATAAGGGCAATATAAATAGGAAACCAAACTTTTGGATCAATAAGAGAAAAGAACAAGGCAGAAGAACTTTCATTACCCATCAAGAGGATTAACAACCCCAGGAAAATAATCTCCAAAAGTTAGCCTATTGATATGGTGACTAACCTGCGCAGATTTTCAGAGATGTATCGATCAACTTAGCAAATAAAGAAAGCATGCTCAATGACAATAAGGGGTACCATTCTAGTTTCAAGGTGCATGGACAAAAGAGAAGCTAAGAAAGTACATTTTTTTTCTTCTTCTTACATTGAAGGTATCTTTCTGAAATGCCAGGAGATCATGAACATGAACTCCTGATTGTTGAAAGCTCTTCCCTGGTGCAAAATGAAAATTACCAGCCACCTTATTAACCTCCAGAAACCCATACACATTACATCCTTCACCTTCTTCCTCTTTGATTCTCTGAAGAAAACCTTCTCTTTTACACTGGGATCACAAACAAAACATGACGTGGGAGAAAATTTTGATGTCAACAACATTATTAATAGCTTGCTGCCCTGACATGAAATGTCAAATACATCTACAAACATATACAAGCATGTGTCTGCATTGAAATGCTGAGAGTTTGTTTGCATAACTAGGACTCAGTAACTAACAAAGGTCTTGCATAGCTTGAATACTCATTCACTAGCACCATTAGTTGTTATTGATAAAGAGCTGGCATAAGGCAGGCTCCAGAGAGTTGAATCAAGGGTTTGTCCCCTTGACACAAACTCATCTGGACAGGATAGCATAAGAAGTTGATACTGGCTCTGTTGACATGGATGTGATGGTATGCAGTTGTTGAAAATAGTCTTTTCTTCCCAGCTCTGATTGCGAAGGGTAGGGCTCAATCATAAAGAGCACCACAGAATCTCCAATTCCTCATTACCGAAAAATCGAGCTTTAGAGGAATATAGTCTTTCAATGAGCCAACTATCAGGAACTTTCACTGGTGACTACCACATACACACACAACTTAAGACTGCTAGTCAATCTTAGCTACTCAACACAAATCCTACCACAAAACAATGAACCAGTTTGTTGGAATACAACACTTCTAGTTTAGGATTTCGACGAGGTATCTCAATCACCTTTTGAACTTGACATGGAAATACGAGACTAGTTTTTCATTTTGGTTTCTAATTGGAGCATATATAAGACACTAGTTCTAAGCATTGAAAGAATAAACAAGCGAATACAGACTGACATGAACTAAGTTGGCCAGACATAATTTGAATCTAGATTCTTGAGATATATTATTCAAGAAAATTACTAAAAAACACACCTGGTCAATCAAATCTGGATTTGACAGCGCCCAGCCCTTCTTTCGATATGCTTCACGAACATCTTCACAAGTATTACAGCAATGGTCATCTGACTGCAACATGAAAAATGTTAGAAGTAGCTTAAGACCAAATAGGTGGATTCTTTGATATGTGGATTCTTAAGACCACATAGGTGGATTCTTTGATATTTTCTCAGAATAAGCACATCAACGCAGAAAAGTAACACCTATATATGTGGATTCTTATAGAGCGGTAATTGAAGGAGGCTTCTGAAAAGCAGACAACAGCTCAGCATAAATTCTACGGGGAATCAGAGGGACCCAGGTTGAAGGATTTTCTCTAGGGTGTAGAGAGGCAAGAAACCCACTTGCAATATATTGCAACTTCCAATTAACCCTTGGCACACTTAAAAGAATGTGGGAACACTTAACACAAGTCAACATAGAGAGATTAATGATTGATGAAGTATCTATTTCTAATGCTTAAGATATCATTGATTACCTCTTCAGCACCAAAGCATGAACCACAATAAGTTTCGTTGTGCTCAAGCCTCCCACCATGTTTCTGCAAAGGCTTTTCAATCTGCAGAGAGCAAACATACCCAATCAAACACGTACCATGTGATAAGTGGTAACGGGAACAGAAATACGTGGTTTAAGCTCTACATACTAAAAAAGTCCAAAGCAAGCATTCTAGTTTACAAGGACGAGCTCTATATTGCATTGGGTCAGACGGCTGTACTCCTGGAGTACACTCCAGGAGTACGCCAGCATTGAGCATCTATATACATAAATATATTAAACAACTGTACATATCAGACTACCAACCTTAGGAGCACCAATTCCATCGGGCCGTGCTTCTATTACATTGCCGTGAGAGTCAATTCTCTTCTTAATAATGTCATGTTTCTGCAGAAAATCAAAATTAGCACACCGTTGAATTGAGAATGATAACTCAAGAAATAGATCACTTGTGTCATGTTTGACAATAAGAAATTCACTGGCAACATTACCAAACTAGAACTTCATGAGGTTCAGTTACTTACCACATCAAGATGTTGCTCTCCGCTTATGTCCATCGCATCAAGACTTAGAATAGAGCATGGCAGGGCAGGAAAAGTGACATCAAACTGAAATTGCAGGATTTTGATAAACAAGTGAGAACTTCAGTGAGTCAAGAACAAGATCTTTTCAAAAAAGGTACCACTTCACAAGAATACCAGTGTATGTTTCAAAAAAAAAATTACACTTCAGGATGAATAAACGTGTAACACCTAGACTGAACATATCAGTTCCATAACATTGCATTGTTAAAGAAAGAAATTACATTGATACGAAGAGTTTCTCCCCTTGAAGTATCGACCACGAGCTTTGTCTCAGTGACAGTATGCAAGTATAATCCTGTACAAGATGCTAGAATAGTTAGCAATCAAAAGCAAGGCAAACAATTTTTGGAGCTGAGAACAGAAAGCACAATATTTGAGGTGCGAACTCCGAACAGTTAGCAATCAAACACAAGCATAGCTCAACGCCGAGAGTTTGAGGTGCGGACTCCGAAAGTATCAGATCAAAAATTCTCCTTTTGCCTATAATTACTCAACCAAAGCAACTGCAACCAGTGGAACAAGTAAAAGTTCCCCTAAATCATTCTGAAAAGGTGCCACACGCACCAATGGACGGATCAGCCTATGTCAATGTGCAGTACAAGCATAATCCTTTTCTAACTCATCAACGCACAACTAGACAGCTGAATATTAAAATCATTCTTTAAGAGACCGAAAATGAATCCAGGACGAGATTGGCGAAACAAAACCATGCTGACATTTACTGGTTTTTGGGATGAGCCATACTAGCAATTTATCAGCGAAAATCGGAGCGTTTAAATAGCGAAACTACGGGACAAATCTAAAAGCAAATGTTCATTGCAAAACAAAATAGTCCGATCCCTTTAGCGCTTAAAACCCAAAAATTGAATCCCAGAAGGTAAAGTCAACTAGTTTCTGCCGCCCATTTGCAGAACAATGATAACAACCGAGATGTAAACAGCAACCATATTGTCTAAGCTAAGAAAGTATGAGTCTTGAGGATCGTGGATGAGGAATCTTAAAAAAAAAAAAGCAAGGCAGATTGAACTCACGAAGCTCCGAGATGAAAAGAAGAAGCATGAGAACCGATGAGGCGAGGGTGATAAGGCCGCCAGAAAGCGTACGACTATAGAAATCCTCGTTGATTTTCGGGTACGCATCTAAGTTCCTCAGCTTGCTCATTATCCCGTCCATTCTGAAACCCCTGAACTCGATCAATTGCGGCGTTTACCTCTAGCTACCTGCGATTGCCCTAAAGCTGTTGGCAGAATTATCTGAAGTCACCCTAGGCGTCCAAATCAACCTAATCTCCTCCCGAAATGTCGATATTTTGGATTCAACGACTTTTGAAAATGGGGTTCGGCCCGGAAATTAACCCCAGGAAGATCAATGGATCGATGGGATTGATTGCGATTCGAACGAGGTGCTTGAAGAGCTATTTATTTGTGTTGATGTCTACCGCCGTTTCTTGTGTTTTCTTTTCTTCATTCCGACCCGCCCATTTTTTTCCAGTTTATTATTATTATTTTTTTTTTTACGTAGACGCCCAAAAAAAGAAGTAATAGTCCTAAGAGCATCTCCATTGGTGCAATTGCATTTGCAATTACATTTGTGATTTTTTTGACACAACACAATTTTTGCAAGCCAACTCACTTTACTTTTATTGTACCTACATTGGTGCAATTAACTTGCAATTGCATATGAGGCCTAAATTTTTTTAATGCATTAAAAAAAAATTTAAATACCTTTTTATCCACATTGCAAGTAAATAAAATAATAATTTTGATATTTGTAGATATGAAATTAAAGTAATAAAAATTTAATTTTACATTTATATTATTATTTATATTTTATTATAATTAATAAAATTAGTATATGATGCTATTTACTCCCATTGATACAAAAATTAAAATAATACTAATTTAACACATGGTCCATGGAAATTATACAAAAAAATTCCAATAAGAATTAAATCTATGGCACATGCAGCCAAAAGTGGGCATTGAAATCAAAACAAGAAGAAAAAATTATAGCACAAATTCCACCGTGGCTTGCAATCCCACTTTCACTAGATGAAAGTTTCCATTTTTGCAATTGCCACTCATATGGGTGCAATGGGCAAATGAAATGCAAACTTGGGCCACGTGGGAATGAAAGTGGGGAGAGTCAAACCGATGGAGATGCTCTAACTCCTAAGGTCTTAGACCGTCCACAATGAGGGAAAGCTATTTATTTGTGCTATTTATTTGTGCTTGGTTATCTGATTTCAATGTAGCAAAATAACAAATTGATTTCACACAACTTTTCAAGATCTTTCAATATTCAATATAGCATTCATCCCCAAAAAATTTTGTTTGCTACCCCGAACGAGCAATTTTTCGATTCCGACAAACACTTGAAGGCCATAATTTTGTGCTCCGCAATCCGAATGTCATGATACGTTTTTTGCTATGCATAAATTTTGAAAGACTATAACTTTTAGGACTTTGCTACGGTGACATGCATATCACGGTGACATACACTTTTCAGTCGACCTCATATAGGATTAGGCCGACCTAATATGTTGTTTCAGTGTAAAAACAGTTTCATGGTGCCTACTTTGGAGATTCATATCTTACAATTGGCTAGATGGAAATTGGAGATTAAAGGCTTGTTTTGAAACTGAAGTGTCCCTCTACACATTAAAGTACTTGGGAGCTCAATAGAAAGTCCAGAAGATCATTTTTTTCACCTGACCATAAGGCTATGCCAAAACTGGGAAACTGCCTGAAAATGGCTAAGCCAGGCAACATGTTTGTCAAGCCTACTTTGGAGCTCAATTTGAGAAGCATGGATGCGAGTAAAGTCCAGGGGCCTCTACCACGTTATATTACGTATTTTTTTATACAAAGGCAAGGAATTGGATGAAAGATTGAATATCTTTAAGCCTTCAAACAAAAGGCTCAAAGTTGCTACGAAGGCTGTTTTTCTGGCAGCTTGCTTGTGCTCGAAGTCTGCCAGAAAAATAGCCTTCGTAGCAACTTCGACCCTTTTGTTTGAAGCCTTACAGATATCCAATCTTTCATCCAATTGCTTGAATTTTTATAAAAACATACCTAATTTAACGTGGTAGAGGCTCCTGGACTCGACTCACATTCATGCTTCTCGAATTGAGCTCCAAAATAGGCTTCACAAACACGTTTCCAGACTTAGCTATTTCCAGGCAGTTTCCCAGTTTTGGCATAGCCTTTTGATGAGGTTCAAAAATGGTCTTCTGGACTTCCTATCGAGCTCTCAATCACTTCAATATGTAGAGGGACACTCCAGCTTCAAAACAAGTCATTAGTCTTCAATTTCCATCTAGCCAATTGTATGATATGAATATCCAAAGTAGGCACCATGAACTGTTTTTACACTGAAACAACATATTAGGCCGACCTGATCCTATATGAGGTCGACCGAATCCTAAATGAGGTCGACCAGATCCTATATGAGGTCGATCGAATTCTAAATGAGGTCGACCTAATCCTAACTGAGGTCGACCGGAAAGTGCAAGTCACCGTGACATGCATGTCGCCGTAGGCACACCCTAACTTTTATCATAACCATAATTTTGGAATGTATGTGGATTTGTGAAAAGTAAAGGCAAAGTTATTCCCAAAATCTCGTATATCCAAAAATATTTCTTTTTTAAAAAATTCTTTCCTAGTAAAAGTTGTAGTTCTTAAAAAGTTATGCGCAATAATAAAAAAACTTTATGACGTTCGGATTAAGGAGAAAAAAGTGATAACCTTCCAAAGTTTTCAAAGTCCAAAAAATTCTCGTTCGAGGTAGCAAACGACATTTTTTTGGAAGAAGACTACTTGGAGATTGAAAGATCTTGAAAAGTTATGCAGAATCAAAAAAAATTTCGCTACCCAAATCACATTTTAAAGTCAAACCGAAAACCACTCAACGTCAATGTTCAGAAATCCCAAGACAAAAGCCCTAAACACTTGGGCAAATTCCAATCCAAAATACTCAAACATAAACCTGAGTTTCCCAATATACTCATAAGACACGAAAATAATGACAATCATGATAAAGGGTTATCCTCTCCATACCCTGAGCCCTCTAACATCTTCAAGCTTGATGCGACTGACTTCATTGATTAACCTCCTCGTAATGGTTACGTCTTCTTCCCCTTTCCACACCTGGTGAGTGAGAAGGGGTCAATCTCATCGTTACTGACTAAGGTCTTTGCCTAAGTAAACTTTTACCTATACATTATTAGAAGTTACTTTCCTCTTACATGAAAGTCGTTCTCGCTTTCATCCTTAATATTTTAGTCTTTTATCATCACAGAAGTTCTCTACTTCTATCTTAACTCATAACTCATTACTAGGGTTCATCGTGTTACGTATTGTTGTCCGGTGTCCCTATCCTCAAGGCGATGGTACTGCGTTACGTATCGCCGTCCAGTAGTGACCCGACCATCTACCGTGTACAATAGTGGCCCAACCTTATGTGATCCCAATTAGGTCACTATACGAGTCTGAGTTGCTTGACCAAGAAGCCATACCAGTCACTATCAAAACCTAGGAAAATTGGCCAAGTCTTTTAGCATGTTCAAGTCGCCCACTTTGCAAGCTTGGTAGATACAATTGGCTCAATGGAAATCGGAGAATGAAGCTTGTTTTGAAGATGGGTTGTTCCTTTACAGGTTTGTAAACTTGGATGCTCATGGAAAAGGCAGGAAGACCCAATTCCAGGTCGTGCAAAAGCTTATGTTAAAACCCGAAATCTGCTAGTTTTTGGTTAAGTATAGAGGACAGCCTATAGACCGATTTTGGAGGCTTTGTTCGAGGAGGAAGATCGAGTTTTGGGGAAAGGAGCTTGTTATCCATGAAAATGGACGATTTCTACTACAGAGACAAAGCGTTGGCTAGTCAAAAGGAGGCTTGGAAGGTCTCCATCGAAGAACTGGAAGATGGAGTAAAGCCTAGTCTGGAAGACTGCCAGCGAGACAATTCGAGTCCTTTGCAGATTAGGATTCAGAGACTGTTTTGGCTTTAGTTTGTTATTTCTGTGTTTACTTGCAATTAGGGTTTCATTATGGACTTGTAAACCTAGGTAGGTTTTATTTAAGCACTCCATTGCATTGCAATAGTTAGTTTTTTTTAGCCAATTGAATACAAACTGCAAGTTTGATTCACAAGTTCCTGCTTGTGTTTCAGAGTAGCTTAGAACGAGTTCTAGTGCTCTCGTTGTTGTATCGATCAAGCCATTCATTCTTGATCGTGGCCAGCCTCGACTTGATTCTTTTCCAGCCTTCGTTCTGTGTGTACGATTGCACGAGAGATCTCAACCACCCACAATCCATTCACAACCTGTTTACGTCCGAAATTCGAATTGGAATTTCAACCCCCAATTCTCGTTGTGCAACTCTAATTCGAAATCACCCATTCAGGGGCGTATTAAGTGGCATCAGAGCCTTGGTTCTATACAGTGGACAGGATGGAGAAGCACGTTGCTGGGGCAACGCGTTGGACAAGGTCGAAGGGTTTCGTTTCCAATGACCTTGAGACTGTACACCAGCAAACAGAGTAGGACGACGAGTTGAATTCGAAGGCTCAAGTTGACAATCGAGCAATGGCGGGACAGCAAATTGACATAGAGGAGCTGATGCGACAGTTTGACGAGAAATTCACTCAATTCCGGCAGGAAATCGATCAAAAGATCGACACCATCGCTCGGTTGGAAAACAAAGTCTGTGAGAGGGAAGTTCCTGCCGATGAGCAACCTGACGGAAATCCGACGTTAATGGATCGAATTGCGGAGCTTGAACAACGTCTAGTCGTAGCAGAACACAGAACAAGTTGATCGTACCCTAGTTTTGTATGCCCAAATTTGAAAAAAAAATGAGGGCTCTAAGCATAGAAACTTCTACATTTGCATGATCAAAGTGGCACCTTTTTATTTTCGTTTTGAATCTAGTGGCTATGAGCTTTGATGTATGGATGACTTGTTTGCGATTGAGAATAACCTATGATGATGACTGAGATATGCATTAGGTTGTGTAAATGTTCAGTTCTCATGTGTTTGCGAACCAATGGATGTTTTGGATTGATTACTCATTGATTACAATTACTTATGCATCAAAATTGGAAAGTTAGAATGAATCATAGAGCATATAAGTAGCCATGTGATACTTGTGTCTGTTCGTTTCTTTCTTG